TGAGGCATTTACCTTTCAATGCCTATTCCCTCAAACTTTAAATGTTGTTTTATATGTATCCTGCTTCTAAGTTGTTTGTATCAGATAACTTAGGTCAAGGTGTTAATTCATGATTAAATGACTAATATTTTAGTAGTGAAAAATATTAAGCCTGATGTGATCTGTTAGCCTTGCCTCTCTGCAGAATAGAGAGAGAAAAGTAGCATTTATTGATTTCATCCTGGGTTCATTCATTGTGCTAGGACAATAAAGATGATCTGATATGCCATCTTTGAACCATTGCCTGCCTTTGTATTAAATCTAATTTTGACTAATCGTGATTGTCACATTCAAGGGAATGCTTGTGAACTGATCTATAGAAAATATTACGGCAGGTATATGGGATGATGTAATTGAGAAAGAGAACCTTTTTCCCTTTATTGTACTAATTTTAAAATGAATAACACGTGCATTGTTATTTTAGTTGAAGTTATGTGGATCTTTTTGAAATAAAATGTTGATTAAATGTTATTACCTATTTTTATTTGAAAGGATATGCCAAGTGTTTTGGGGAGTGGCTCCCCCATGTGGCATGCTCATTTATAGTAGCTGTTTGGATTGCTTCAGTAAGAATTTAATGAGCTGACCTTTGTTTTTAAGAGAGTCCCCTCTCCTCTTCCTCCTCAACTTCCCCCCATGAAACCAGCCACAAGAATCGAACCAACAGCCTCTTCTGTCCTCACCCCCTTACATTTTTGGCTCTAATAATTATGCTGTTTTTTTGTATTTTCTTCAGATTGATGCTGATCCTAGCTGGAAACATCTATAATATCTCCGAGGGGAAGAAAGGGAGTTAAGAATATTGAGTGACTTATTATGGATCCCTGCTAAAGTATTCTTTGTAACTTTTAATATCTTGGATATGGCTAGGTATATTAAAATAACTGTAAGAAAAACAGGTTTTGAAGTCAGAATAGTTTGTGTGATGCTGGTGAACTTCCTAAACAGGAGTTTTTGAAACTTACTGGATTATAGAATGGGATTGACACATTAGGGAACACATTTTGGGAAACAGCAAGTGGTTTTACTGAGTCATTCTTCATGGTTTTTTGAATTGCTTAGTACCATATTTGCCTCTTCCCTTGTGGCAGCAATTTTTGAAGGAAAAATAAGAGAAAGCAGTATTAAGCCTTAGAGATCTATATTTGGCAATGTATTTCCTGTCAGTAAGGCTACTTTTTTCTTTCTGTAGCAAGCCAACCTCAGAATCATAAGGTTTTTTATTTTTTAAGATTACTTTATATTAGGAAAAATGAATAGGATTTTAGTTTAAACATAATTTAATTAAATAATTCATTTTCAGTAACGAATGTTTCTAAGATTTTCTTATTGACACTTACTGGCAGTGTGTACAGGGAGTATCCTATTTCCTGCTTTTGCCTTTCCTTTTATAATATTCATAGAAAAAAATATGAGGGGAAAAGTTAAGATGCATTTATGATGATGGTAGGTTTTGGGGGAATGCAAGGACTGTAGGGAGATTTAGATTAAAAATCTTAACATCTGTTCTTAAGGCACTAATTAAATATAAATTTATTTAAATTAAGGTTTTGCAAATATATAAATATTATTCTTATCTGTTATTGTGTCATCTTTTGAGAGTGCTATACCTAAATTGGGAAGAATAGTGTGTATACTGTATAGGTCTACACATCTCTTATAGGAAGCATATAGGATATGTTTTAAAGCAGTGACATGTTTGATATTTTCAGGTTAATTTTTTAACTGTATGAGAATACTGATGGTTAGGTTAATGTTTATGGAAGTGAATAAAAACAAGCCGAGTAATCTAATGTCCAGTATCATCAGGATGTGAAGTTTTCCAGATAAGTGATTTTTCTAGATAACGGAAGCATATATTTTAAGTACCAAGACTTTAATGAAGATAGCCCTTTTTTACTGAGCTTAATTTAATGCAACTTAATTTATTTTCAGTCTAGGTTTGCCATTATGATGTTATAATACTGTTGTCCTAGGGGATCTGTAGCTATGGTTGCCTCTTGGCCCTTTCCTTGGCCCTTTCCTCCTTCTAAATGGTTTTTTTTTTTATCCTTTATCATTTTAAAGATTAGTCAGAATAATGCCTAATGTAGAAACACATACGTAATAAGAGCACCCCTTTAAGAATCACGGTCTTTGTGGTATTTATTTTAGCTCTTTAGAGATTCTTTCAACCCTTACCTGTTACCTCTGCCCACCCTACTGCCTTTGAGTTGTAATTGTTGGATAGACGAGTTTTGGAGAATTGAGGGTTTTTTTCTTTTTAATGATATCGTAGATTAACTTTTATTCCATGTAATAAGGGAAACTGGGTATTTACTATATATAGTATTGGAGTAAAATAGTTACCACGTGAATCAAGGAGTATTTATTTTTTGTAAAGTGTGGATTATATTATATTTTGTTTTAACAGCGTAAGTACAATCTATATGTATTTCATTAAGAGAGATACTTTTTGATTTTGAATACATTGTTATATGCAATTTGCTATGTTTAAAATATTGGTTCCAACTGATTTAGTATGTGTTTGAAGTACTGGGTTATTAAACTAAAAAGTGTTAAATGGTATATAATTATAAGTTTTATTACACCCTGGATGGTGTGGCTCAGTGGATTGAGTGCTGGCCTGTGAAGCAAAGGGTCACTGGTTCGATTCCCAGTCAGGGCACATGCCTGGGTTGTGGGTCAGGTCCCCTTGGGGCACATGAGAGGCAACCACACATTGATGTTTCTCTCCCTTTCTTTCTCTCCCCCTTCCGCTCTAAAGATAAATAAAATCTTTAAAAAAAAGTTAGAGTGTATTTTAAAATTCAAATTAGTTTCACAACTAATATTTTGATGATTTTTATTTAATTTTTAAAATATAGTTTTAAATTTATATATATTTATATTCATCCTATTGGGTTATGAAGTACTAACCAATCTGACTTTGCTTAGTGTACGAGATAAGAGAGATTGAGTATGTTCAGGATGGTGTGGCTGTAGATACCCTATTAGGTTATTAGAGAAGTACCTTGAATATTTAGAGAATAAATGTTTTAGAAGAAAATTGCTATTTTGTTTTAAACATGATAGCTAAGTATACATAGTTTTTAAAAGGCCATACTTTATAGTGGAATTTACCTGTGGTTTTAATAGTGGACAAACAGAATGTACTTTATAGTTTTAGCACAGTTTGGGGAAAAGGAGAGGGACCTGTACTTTTATTACAGCAAATTATATGTGTAAGTGAATTTTACATATAATACATAAGTTTTTTGCTATGAGGTGACAAGAACTATCTATAAAGATTGAAACACAATATTTAAAATTATAGTCTAGGTAGAGTCTGTTACTTTACTTTTTGAAATTCAGTTTCTTGCAAATATCCTTTGAAATATTTATGAATTTTAATAGGACCATACTTTAAAAAAGCATCAGAGATAAAGCATCTTTTTAGGCAATCCGCAAATAGAGGAGGCGGGGAATCAAATTTGTCCTACTTTATGTTAAAGTTTTTAATGTTTAGTCTTTACTTAATTTAGACAAGTGTTTTATTTTTAAAGAACAGTTGTAAACTTGGAAATTAATGTAAAGGTGCAATCTGACTGAAATGACATGGCTAGGTCAGTAATCTCTTCAGTCAACAAAATGATCATTCTAACCTAAAGTAACAACATCTGGTTAAATCAAAATTAATAAAATACTTAAAGGTATAAGATAAAACATATCATTTGTTTTTAACATTACCACCCAAGAAGCTTTACCCATTTTTTGGTTACTAAATGATACATATTTTTACTTAACATTTAAATGCAGAAATTTTACTCCAAGAAGGCTGAGTGTTAAGTTTGTTAATAATTAGTTCTGGTTTCCTGATTATTAATTGTATTTATCCCTTCTCTGTAGTTTAATAATGTTATAGTAGGGTTTTTGTTTTATCTTTTAAAACTGGGATAGACCCAGGTAAACTAAGACAGTTTAATCTCCCTAAATGTACTAACCACAAAGGCTAATAACCCAGAGGAAAAAAATAATTAGGATCTAGCTTAGTGTTTGTTTATATAAGGAAGTTATTTTACTTAAAAAAGACTTGTTTACTACTGTTAATATATGAAAAGGTATAGGTCTCTTTTTACAGGATTTAAATGTACTTGTAAAAGTTCAGGTACCAATAATTTTTGAGGTGAGGCTATTTTATTTTGGTTGATATTTGAATAATACCCACTTGCTAGGACTTAATACAGGTGACTTTATATAATTACAAAGTTTTCTTGAGCAATCTGAGGCAAATTGTTCCAATTAATAGAACTAAAACTCCAAGAAATTTAAGTGATTTCTGAAAGTCATATTGCTTGTAGATAGCAGAGAGATTTGGGACCTTGGCCTCCTGGTGTCTCAATCTCTAGTAGTTTTATCAGAGTTAGAAATGTAAACTGGACCCTAATTAATATGATAAGATTTAGAAGGGAAGATCATTCCTAGTGGCCTTTTAGACATACAAACCACTGGTGATGGTTAATTTAACATTTTCATAGTGTGTACTTTTGAAAAGTTTGATAAAAAGACATGAATCATTAGAAAAATGTAGGTATATGAACTTCTGAATATAATTTCAGTAGCATCATTGATCAAATAATGACTATATTATAAGAAGTTATGGTCAGTTGTCTACGGTCTAGAATTATGGCATTTATCTCAACTACTTTTATAAGCTGTGTAATTTTTATAAATTAATGTAAAGGTGCAATCTGACTGAAATGACATGGATATTTTTCTTTTTTACCTAAGGAAGGTAAAATAGCTTGATTTAGTGCAGATTTTTAAAATGACTTTTATTTTTACTGTTTGTAAAGGCTTTTTGTTTTGTTTTGCTTGCCTAACATTATGTTCTAATACTTTTGGACAATATAATTTAGTGTTACAAGGTGAGAATAAGCATTGTCTTACTTATAACTTCTAATTAATTCCATATCCTTCAGGTAAAAAGAACATATTCTCATGGTACTTACAGAGCTGGCCCAATGCGACAGATTAGCTTGGTGGGAGCAGTTGATGAAGAAGTGGGAGATTACTTCCCTGAGTTCCTTGACATGTTGGAAGATTCACCGTTTTTAAAGGTAAGAGAAAACAGTATTAAGCAATACGAATTGTGGGTGTTACTTTCATGCTACAGGTGATACAGATGGTTGTTTCATAGTTGTAAAAATTTTTATTTCATTTGAATTTGAGGGAAGGAAAGGAAGAAACTAAATTCTAGTGTAGTGTACGTTTATGACTTCTCAGGTATTAACTGTACCAGAAAATAACATTTGCCTGTTGCTGCCACTTTAGGAAATTAGGTTTCATCTGTTATTAGCTATCAACTGAGTACCAGAGGATTTAAAAAGTACTGAAAGGATGTCTACTAAATTAAAGCACTTAGGAGAAGGGAATGGGGCTATCTAGCATTGTGGAAAACTGCCCTGGGAGATTGCACATCTGTATTCCATTCTTGGCTATACCTAGCTGCATTGGGAAAGCCATTTAAATTTAAACTTTCTGGACTTCATCCATAAAATAAGACATTTAAAATACAATTAGTAATTCAAAGGTCAGAATGTGACAAGATCATTTTATCATTACTGTTTGCCACTTAATCTCTTCTTTTTTCCCTTTTGCTTACTCAGTTTTCTCATCTGTGTGTGTGTGTGTGTATTTTTCTTTTCTTTTTTACCCCATTCCATTTCCCTTTTATTTCCTTTTATATTTTTATTTTTTTAATTAATTAATTTTTCCAAGTACATTTGTCTCTGCCTTCCCCCCACCACTTTCCCCTGTCCCCGCCCTCCCTCTCCCTCCCTCAATCCTTCCCCTCTTTGGTTTTGTCCATGAATCCTTGCTGTATGTTCCTTGACTTTCCCCTTCCCTTCCTTTTCACCTGCCCACCCCTCCCTCCTTCCCTCTTGTCTCTGTTGGTTTCTTTTTCTTTCAGTGTTGCTGGTCTTATTTTACTTGCATCTTTGTTTTGTTGGTTAGGTTCCACTTATAGGTGAGATCATATGGTATTTGTCTTTCGCCCCCTGGCTTATTTTGCTTAGCATAATGCTCTCTAGTTCCATCCATGCTGTTGTGAAGTTTAGTAGTTCTTTTTTTTTTTTTGCTGTGTAGTATTCCATTGTGTAAATGTACAATAATTTTTTGATCCAGTCATCTATTGTTGGGCATTTAGGTTGCTTCCAACACTTGGCTATTGTAAATTGTGCTGCTATGAACATTGGGGTGCATAGGTTCTTTGAATTGGCGTTCTGGGATTCTTAGGGTATAGTCCCAGGAGGGGAATCACTGGGTCAAAAGGCAGTTCCATTTTCAGCTTTTGGAGGAAATTCCACACTGCTTTCCACAATGGCTGCACCAGTCTGCATTTCCACCAACAGTGTACTATTTCTCTCAACTAATGACATCATGGAATTTGATTGTATTTGTTTTGAATTGTATTTAAAAAATATCATTATTTAAGTATTTATGTTTCAGATATTAAGTGAAAAACAAATGAACCAAATGCATTTAATCTGGAGAAATTTAATTTGACAATTTTCCCATTTTTGAAAAGGGATATGGGATACATTATTTTTGTTTTAATACCATTCTCACCATTCGATGGCTCCTTTGTCATTTTTCTCTGTTTTCAAAGATTTTAATCTCTGGTTTTTAAACTAGCAAACTCTTCAAACAGCTACTAAAAAAATGAATTTTTATTTTGGTTTGGTTTTCTTTTTTGTTTTATTAAGACTTGATTATAACTAATCAAAGAAGTATCTATTTTTTTGGTGACCATTTTTTCACTATTCATTTTTTTAGATTCTCATGGAGAACACTTGTTTACTTTGGCAGCTTATTAACATCAAATATTTGTTAGGAGGAATGATGACTATAGTGAATCGTATCTGTGACAGGGTTGGTGGAGGGAATCATCCAAAAATAATTAGTCTATGCGTTCAAAATAGAACTTTTTGTTAGAAAATGTGTGAATATATAGGAATATATTCAATATAGGTATATATTTCAAATGTAGAAATGTAAAAGTGTATATGAAATTTTGTCGAGGGGCAATATTCTTTAATGTATATTTAAAGATATAGTTTGACAGTAATTGATTTCTGTGTAACTATTTGCCTCTAGTGTACACTGCCATGGGGGACACTATCTAGTCTAAAATTAGAGAGTCGAAAAGATAGCGATGATGGTCCCATCATGTGGGTACGTCCAGGAGAGCAAATGATCCCTGTGGCTGATATGCCAAAGTCACCTTTCAAAAGGAAAAGGTATGTTGAATACAAATTTATATTACCGGGAGTGGGTGTTTGTATACTGGGGACCTGTGTGTGTTATTTGAAAACTGGAGGAAGAATGAGGTAAAAGTTTAGGGCATAATTGGAATATAAATTTAAAAAATTGCTACACATGTTGATAAGATATTAAAAGTCTATCAAATATTAACAAGACATGAGAAATGCAGGCAAATGACTAAATTGTAGTTAAGAATGGAAAAAATGTCATTCACACTAGAGACATTAAAACTATTTGGAATAAATTTAATAAGAAATATTTAGAACCCTTATTAAGAAAATTAAAACATATAGGATATAAGATCTAAACAAATAAAAAACCCTACTATATTTTAGATAAAAATGATAGTCCTTTGAAACTTACCTCTACCATTTACCTCTAATACTGTATAAATGATATTAAGATTTAAAAGGAAGAATAAAGCCAGCAAATAGCCAAGAAGATTGTGAAAGAGAAGTGAGGGGTCCATGTGTTATTAGGTAATGAGAATTACTATAAAGCTCAAAAAGATCATTTATAAAATAATAGAATACACAAATAGATCAAAGCATATTGGGAAAGGGAAGATGTACTTAATGAATAATATGACATAATTGGCAGTATGGAAGAAAACAAAGCCATACCTCACATAAGAAGTAAGTTTGAGATTTAAATGTAAGATAAAAAATTAATAGAATGAAATTTATTTTATTTTGAAAGATTTTATTTATTTTTTGAGAGAGGGGAGGGAGCAAGAAAGAGGGAGAGAAACATCACTGTGTGAGTGAAACATCAACTGGTTGCCTTCTACACGCTTCCAACTGGGGACCTGGCCCTGCAACCCAGGGATGTGCCCTGATTGGGAATCAAACCAGTGACCTTTTTGGTTTGTAGGCTGATGCTCAGTCCACTGAGCCATACCAGCCAAGGCTAAAATAAGATTTTTAAGCCTAGGAGAGACCTTTCTCAGTAAGGCAAAAAATACAATGGCAGTAGTATTAGTGAGAGAAAAGGCATGAACAACAAAGTTCAAAACTATGGTAGATTGACTAAAACATTTATACCATGTGGCAGACTAAAGTTAATATACAAAGAGCATTCCTAAATTGACAAGAATAATATAAACAACCCAATAGAAAAGTAGGCTTCAGGCAATCAAGTGCATATTAAAATATTTATGAGATACTGTTTTTATTAATTATTGACAAAAATTATTAATAGAGTAATGATATGGGTTGGTATATATGTGGGGAAAAGTTATTTATATATTGTTGGTAAAAAGATGAGATGCTATAATTATTTTCTGAAAGTAATTCAGCAGTAGCTCATAAAGTTTAGCATACTATATATTCTTTAATCCAGCACCCTAACTTTTGTAATCTGTCCCAAGATATAAAAGTCCTAAAGGTAAATGTAATAAGAATATTGATTGCAGCATTATTTGTAGTGAGAAAAAGGTTTAAAATTGTGTGAATGCCCATTAACAGGAATAGTTGACTACATTTTGACACATTCCTATTAAAGAATTTGGTGAAATAGTTAAAATAAGTGAATTATTTGTTCATTGATCTGAAAGGATATCCATGACACTTGAAAAGAGTAAAATGTAGGGTAATATACCCACTATGATTGTTTTAATGAGAAGAAATGAAAAACATATATAAATATATATTGGGTTGGTCAAAAAGTCCATATGGTTTTTTTCCATATAATAAAAGACACATTTTTCATTTTTACCAATAACTTTATTGATTTGGATATTTTGAGTACGTTGGCTATCTTCCCTGTGGTATAATGTTGATTGTTCTCAATTAATGGCTTGATTTGATCACTTCAACATCAGCCAGACTGTGGAGCATCAACCAGCAAGACATCTCTAGCACAAAACTTCATAAACCATTTTTAACGTGTTCGATCAGTCACAGCACCTTACTCCATATACTGCACAAATCCTTTTTTCATTTCAGTTGCGTTTTTACCTTTCTTGAAATAATAAAGCATAGTATACTGAAATGTTGCTTATTTTCTTCCATCTTCAATATTAAAATGGCTACACAAAAATTGACCAATTTTGATGTTTTCTTTTTAATGCATGCTGATAATGACAGCTGTCACAATACAGTCTAACAGAATTGTTTCAAATGAAGTTAAAGACAGCTAATTGCTACCAGAGCCATCTTATGGAAAATCCAAATGAACTTGTTGGCCAACCCAATACTTACGTGAGCACAGAAAAAAGTACGGAAAAATGTACATTAGGTTAACATTGGTAGGAATGGAGTGGGTGATGCTGGGAGAAATAATATTTTTTTCTTAGATAACAAAAATGGTTTCACTGATTACAATGATTATTAACTTAAAAAGGAAAAAAAAACAGGGAAAAATGGTCATTGAACAACAGGGTGCAGGAAGGCATGGACTATGTTGTGCTTATTACTAATGTGTCTCTAGCACCTAAAAGGAGTGCCTAGTACTTAAGAAATTTTCATTGGTTGAATGAAATTTTTATAATATATAAGCTGGTAGTAAATGGTAAAATTGGTGTTTCTCAGTGGTTCTTAATACGGATTTATAGGTTGTTTTGAGAATCTGAAAGCCTCTGCCCAGGATGATAGAGATACATACTCCCTTTTCCATGTAACCTGAGAAGTTCAGAAGCTCCTTAAGGAGTTTGCCTGCACTGCATGGATTACAAATCCATTGTATATCCAATAATCTCATACTACCTTACAGTCTGACCAAGCTAATAACAACATTGCTCCAGCCACTATGCTAAAGTCATAATTCATTAGAATATGGTGTTAATGAACCCAAACTTGTGGGCTTGAAAGCCTATTTGTTAGCTTTTCACAGGAAGCAACATCATCATCTAGCTTTCTGACATCTGTAGAACATAAATCACAAAGATTGAAAAAGTATGTTGTAGCATCATCTCTCTGTGTGTGTGTGTGTGTGTGTGTGTGTGTGTGTGTGTGTGTGTGTGTGTGTGTGCGCATAATAAGATTGCACAAAGGGCAGTAGGTAGTAGAGATTGAGGGTGAGAAGTTAGAGAATAAGGAAGAGACCCTAAGGGATAGACTAGGATAAGAGGAGAAAATTATGGGGCAATCTGAATTTGTTCTTGGAAGTAACGGAAAAACCACACAAGAAGATAAATACGATGATTCCTAATCTAAGAAATTCTTCTCTTTTCCCCTTCTCCAGCAAAATTTGAGAGGGTTTCTGCAATGAGTGAGGCTAAGTAGTGAACAGCTTCTGTGTGTATGTGATTTCTGGGTGGTGAGCAGGGGAAGAGAGGCTCAGTGGGTGATGGATGTCCTCTTAAGAGGGAGCTGAGGTTTCCCTTTCTACATCCAATAAATCATACATATTTTGTGAAAGCACTTATTTTCTTGCTATTTTATTTGTTTTTTTTCTTTCATAGAATATAAACTTCCACAAGAGTTAGGGAACTTGTCTTACTCACTAGCTCCAGGGTCTGCATCATACCTGACATATAGTAAGTAGGTGCTCTGTAAATATTAAATCAATGAATTTTTTAAAGTTACTTGTTTGTTCCAGATATATACTTTGTGTTAGCCATGTGACCTGATGGGGGCATGCTTCCACAGGTTAGACTCAAACTTCAGGTAAAGATTCTGGGTACAGGGAAACTTGGGTAAGCCACACCACCTGTAATTTAGTTTTGTATCCAAGTATATATTGCCTTTAAACTTCCACTTACAAAGGGTGTATGAAAAGGGGTGGATTATATATGTGCTCTTGTTTATACTTGTTCATTTTAAAAAGAAAACTTGATTTGGGAGCAAGCAGATGATTTATAATTTCATTTCTCTGAATTATGTGATTACTAAATGCTTGACGTCAATTAAACCTCAGTACATCAATACAGATGTTTGAGGGTAGTTAAGTCTTAGTACATAGCCTGTACAACCCCTCTCTTTCCCTCCACCTCACCCCCTCTCCCTCTCTAGAGAAAATATATATAAAATATAAGTAATTTTTCTTAAAACAGAACTACCAATGAAATAAAAAACCTGCAATACCTACCTCGAACTAGTGAACCCCGTGAGATGCTCTTTGAAGACAGGACAAGAGCTCATGCAGATCATATAGGACAAGGTTTTGAACGACAGACTACAGCTGCTGTTGGAGTGTTGAAGGCTGTGCACTGTGGAGAGTGGTATATATTAACTACTGCTATTTTAATTAAATGTTTTCTTGGCTTCTAAAATTTTGGGAAGTTTCTCAGTAATACTCCTTACTGGTGGGGGGTTACTTTCCCATGTCTTTGAATATTGTAACTGTATGACTGCATTAAGATTTTCAGTTGCTAAAATCTAGTTTTTCTTTTGGATTTGGCTGAAATAATTTCATTTTCTAAGTGACAAGAGATGAAAACAACAGTCTTATCTAAGGTAAAAGAAAAACTAAGATTTACTTGGTACTTGCTATATGCCCATATTCATTTGATTTTCAACTACTTTTAGGACTTTATTTATCACACAAGGAAACTGAGGCTCAGAACTGTCAAACAGCATTATCATAGTTATAGAGTTAATAAGTGGTAGAGCTGAGACTGAGTTCAGATTTGTCTCCAGACTCGTGTTTTCTCTTTATACTGTTCTACCTTGTTCCCTGCTAAGGGTTTGATAGCTGTTGTATTAAATATTTATTCATCTTACTAATTATTTTTTTCCAGCTTCACCTGCAAGTTTCACTTTGAATCATTTCGTAGGTAAAAAATAGAAATTCTCTTTAATATACTTAAGGTATCATCCCATAATTAAGAACTCCATTTATTGATAAATAAATGGATATTGTAAAATAAGTTTGCTCAGGTTTCTCTTTTCAAACTGGGTACTGTTTAGGTTTAAAATTTAAGTTGGAATATGCTGTTTTACTTACTAAAGCAGTTAATTAGTTAGACACTAAATATGCAGGAACATTTTCTAATTGTAAAACTTTTTAACTCTGAAAATGTACAATGTCAATATTGTTGCATAGTTTTCTAAGATATAATGAAAAATATAACCTGTACTTTGAACGTGAGGAAATTTTGTTTTCAAGGGCTACCAATACAGAATTGACATTTTGTTAATTTGTAATATAAAAAAATTATAATATTTTATAAATTAATAGTATATGGAGAAGCCAGTGTAAACTGACCTTTCTTTGCATAAATGAAACTTTATCAATTTTAGGTATACAAAGTAGCTAGTACTGAACTAACCCTAAGAGGTCTTTAGGAAAATAATAGTTTATAACTCAGTAGTACTTGAATTGTTTAACATAAAATGATAATTTTCAAATATTTGTGGTTATGTTCATATAGTTTTTATGTTCTTTCTATAATCTGGTTTAAAACACTAAATTTATCTCTGTGGAAGTCATTACAAGATCCTATTTCAAATTAAGGAGATTTCTCTTGAATGTTTGATGTAAAGGATCTAAATGTGTCATCAAGGATTACTTAGGGTGAAATCTAATTTAGAGTGTTCAGCTAATTTAGCTACATATTTACACTTTCAGAGATAAATATTCTTGCTTCATGGCACTTTGTTAAAATATTTTAAGCTTCTTTAAATTATTGTTGGTATATATACCCTCTCCACTTTATGTGCGATTTGAGTTTAGAGATCATGTCCTGTCCTTCACGAGCCCATCATAGTTACTGATAAATATCTATTAATAAAAAAAAAACACTGTGGCTAGTAATTTCATAGTATGAGGACTGTTGCCAAACTAGTATACTAGTAAGTTAGGTGGCCAAATTTAAGAGTATGCTTGAACCAGATTTTGGAATGAGATATTGCTAGCTATGAGTGTTCCCACTATTGTAAAATACAATTTGCTTCCTAAACCAATGCTTCTTTAATCCCTTAATACTAATGGTGAGAAAATAATTTTGTTGGTGCTGTAAAAGGGCTTCAAGGCTCTGATGCAAACATGGTTTATGATCCCTTTATAATAATAAATTCCTTGGTGTTAAATTAAGCTATACTAAGGAAGTTGGTGCTTCGTTTCTTTCTTAGTGTTTTGAATTCTATACTTTTTCTCAAGAAGACATTAGGTATTAGAGTATTAGATTCTTGACTTTATCTTAGAGCCAGACTTAATACCAATTTGAAATAAAAGACTAGGATTGATTTAGACTTTATAGAAGTATTGATTAAATTATATTGCTCTTTAGGTATTATAAGAAAAGATTCATATACAGGGTTGGGTAAAAGTAGGTTTATAATTGTGATATGTGAAACAAAGAGTTTATTCTTATATTACTACTTATTAATTATTGTATTTTTTCCCCATGTGAACAACTATAAGCCTACTTTGCCCTACCCTGTAGATTTATATATTTGAGGTGCCTTCTTTGAAATTGTTTTTTGAAAAATCAACCATTGAAGTATAATTTACATTCAGTAACATACACACATACTCATTTTAAGTATTATACAGTTTGATGTGTTTTAACGAATGTATACAGCCATGTTACCACTACCTCAATAAGAAAATAGAACATTTTGTCTCCTTCATATCCTTTGGCAGTTAATCTCCCCCATGGTTATCCCAGCTCTATACATCCTGTAATCTGTTTTTATTTTTGGTCTCCATAGGTTAGGATTGCCTAGTCTAGGATCTTATGTAAATAGAATCATACTAGTTGCCTGACTTCTTTTACTCCACATAATGTTTTTGAGATTCATCAACAGTGTTACAAGTACTAGTAGTTCATTCCTTCTTGTAGCTGAATGGTATATCATTGTATGGCTATATCACAACTGATTTATTCATTCACTTGATGGTAGACATTTGAATTGTTTCCAGTTTTATGAATAAAGGTGTTATGAACACTCAAAAACCGTTGTATACATATATGATTTCATTCCAGTAAATACACAGAAATATAATTACAGAGTCTTAGAGTAAGGAAAAATAATTGTGTACAGAGAAAATTTTAAGTCTACAAAAGAAGAAGTAGAATTAATAAGCAGCCCTGGCTGGTGTGGCTCAGTGGATTGAGCACCAGCCTGCAAAGCAAAGGGTTGCTGGTTTGATTTCCAGTCAGGGCACATGCCTGGGTTGCAGGCCAGGTCCCCAGTAAGGGGTGTGTGAGAAGCAACCACACATTGATGTTTCTCTCCGTCTTTTTCTCCCTCCCTTCCTGTCTAAAAATAAATAAATAAAATCTTTTTTTAAAAAATAAGTATTACATTGCCTTTAAAAAAATAAGTTAATTTATCAAAGTGTCGGGATAAGACAATTATTGAAAGTCAGTTGTATTTCTATATATTAACAGTAATCGTGGAAAATGTCATTTTCAATGCCACTTAGAGATAAATTTTAAATATATGACAGATGCTGAAAACTATAAAACACTAATGAGAAAAATTAAGGACTTACATGCATGTAGAGCTATACCTTGTTTATGGATTGGAAGACTCGATATTATGTCAGTTGTTTCCCAAGTGATCTATAAATCAACTCAATCCCAATCAAAATCCACAGGGTTTTATTATAGAAATACAAATAAACTATTATAGGCAAAATAGTCTTGGGGGGACAAAATAATGTTGGAGGATTTAGACTACACTACCTGTCATTTTAAAGCTTACTTGAAGCTACAATAATCAACAGAGGGTTGTATTGGTATGAAGATAAACTTTAAGATTAATTTAATTTAAGATTAAAGAACAGTGTCCAGCGTTCAGTGATTTTTAGTGAAGGTGCCAAGGTGATTTAGTGGGGAAAGAGACCTTTTCAAGAAATGGTGCTGGAACAATAGGGTGTACATCCACAAAAACAAAAATTAAAAACAATAAACCTTGACTCTTACCTCACTCCATACCAAAAAAAACTTAAAATGGATTACAGAATGAACTGTAACCATTAAAACTATAAAATTTATAGAAGAAAATATTGGAGGAAATTCTTCTGCATTAGGCAAAAATTTCACGGACCATAAGAGAAAATGGTATCAAGATAATGAAAAGACTGCAAGAAAATATTTGAGGGGTGTGGGTGTGCGTGTGTGTAAATGACTTGTATCCAAATGTATAAAGAACTCATACAATTGATGAATAAGAAAAGAAGCCAATTAAAATTGGATAATATATGAATAGGCATTTAACAGAAGATACACAAATGCTCTTTATTTCTTTTAAGGAAAGAGCTTGCTCTTTTTCTAGCTTAAGTTACAAGCTTAAATTATTGATTTGAGACAATTCTTTCTAATATAAGTATTTAAAACTAAATTTCTAAGCACTGCTTTAGCTATATTTCACAAATGTTGATATTAAAAGTTTTTCAGCTGTACCATAAGAGAATGCAAATTAAAATGAAAATGAGATAGCACCACACTCACTACAATTGCTAATAATAATAATAATTATTATTATTATTATTTTTAAGAAGACCATAACAAAAACTAGTAAAGATGTGAGTTAATCAGAACTTTCATATACTGCTCTGGGAACTGTAAAAAAGTTTGGCAGTTTCTTACAAAATTAAACATGTAGTTACTCTAGGACCCTATAATTCCTTAATTCCATTTCTGTGCCTTGGATTAAAAACCTCTCTTAGTTATCTGTATTATCATACATATCATAACTGTATGTGATTAATTGTATACATATATGACAGTATGTAATAACCAAGAGAAGTATGTGTATATATCTGATATATACCAAATTTTAAACATAATTATATATGGTGTGTGTATACATATATTTTTTATATATACACACATCTGATAATATTTATGATAATATTCTAATTAGTGCTGGATTCAACATGCTAATATTAATGAGTTTTGTTTGCATTAATGTGTTGCCAGAATTCATTAATTTTATTGATCTTTCCAATGAATCAGCCATTTTCATTGATTTTTTTTTTCTTCTGTTTTTCTGTTTTCTGTTTCATTATTTCCACTCTTTACCTCTCTTAAGGAAAGAACTTGCTCTTCTCTTTCTGGCTTAAGTTAGAAGCTTAGATTATTGCTTTGGGCTTGCTCTTTTCTAATATAAATATGTAAAACTAAATTTCTAAGTACTACTTTAGCTATATCCCACAAATGTTGACAATTGTCTTTTCATTATACAGTTTGGAATTTTTCTAATTTTCTGTTTGGTCTTTTTTTTTTTTTTAAATCATGGATTATTGAGAAGAATTTTGCTTACTTTTCAGTATTTCAGAATTTATTTCCAGATTTTTGGGGGTGTTTTCCTTTCCAACGTTAATTCCCTGTGGTCGGAGAACATACTCTGTATAATTTTTCTTAGTTTCCTATGATTTGTTTCATGGTCTATCTTGATGAATATTCTATGTGCATATAAAAGAATGTATATTATGCTGTTGTTGGGGGTATAGTGCTCTATTAATGCCATTAAGTCAATATTATTGATAGTGTGGTGCAGAATTTATATATTACTGATTTTTGTCTAGTTACTAATCTCCATTGTTAGATTGGATTTGATTGTTTCTTTTTTCAACTTTGCCAGGTTTTTGCTTTTGAAGTACCAGTATATTTTATTGATTATGCTGTTACAGTTGTCCCAGATTTTTTTCCCCCTTTGCCCCTTCCGCCTGGTACCCCTCTTCCCTCCAGCAATACTCCCCCCTACCCTTAGTTCATATCTGTGGATTGTGTAAGTTCTTTGGCTTCTCCCTGTCTTGTACTGTTCTTAACATCTGCCTGTCTATTTTGTTTCTACCACTTATGCTTCTTAATCCCTGCACGATCCCCCGCCCCACCCCAATCCCCCGTTTCAGCTGATAATCCTCCAAATGATCCCCATACCTATGATTCAGTTCCTGTTCTGGTTGTTTTGCTTAGTTTGTTTTTGTTTTTATTCTTTAGATTCAGTTGTTGATAGTTGTGAGTTTGTTGTCATTTTAATTGTTCATAGTATTGACCTTCTTTTTCTTAAATAAGTCCCTTTAACGTTTTGTATAATAGTGGCTTGGTGATGATGAACTCCTTTAGCTTTACCTTGTCTGGGAAGCACTCTACTACCTTCCCTTCCATTCTAAATGATAGTAGAGTAATCTTGGTTGCTGGGTCCTTGCTTTTCATCACTTTGAATACTTCTTGCCAGCATCTTGTTGCCTGCAAAGTTTCTTTTGAGAAATCAGCTCACAGTCTTATGGGAACTCCTTCGTAGGTAACTCTCTGTTTTTCTCTTGCTGCTTTAAAGATTCTCTCTCTATCTTTAACCTTTGGCATTTTAATTATGATCCATCTTGGTGTGGTCCTCTTTGGGTCCAACTTGATTAGGACTCTGTGCTTCCTGGACTTCCATGGCTGTTCCCTTCACCAAATTAGGGAAGTTGTTGTTTTTTTCCCCCAAATAGGTTTCCAATTTCTTGCTCTTTCTCTTCTCCTTTTGGCACCCCTATCATGTGAATGTTGAACCTCTTAAAGTTGTCCCAGAGGCTGCTTATACTACTCTTAATTTTTTTTGGATTCTTTTTTCCTTTGTGTTGTTGTGATTGGAGGGTTGTTTTTTTAAATTTTGTTTTGCTCCCATAAGTTCCAAATCATTGAATGATTATCGGCTTCGTCCATTCTACTGTTGTTTCTGTATAAGTTGTTCTTTATTTCAATTAGTGAATCTTTCTTTTCTCACTGAATTTTTCTTAGGTTGCAGAGGGTCCTAAGTTCCTTGAGCATTTTAATAACCAGTGTTTTGAACACTGCATCAGCAGAGATTGAGTTGGTGTAAGATTATTACTTATCTCCATTTTGTTTAACTCTTTTTCTGGAGTTTTGATCTGTTCATTCATTGGGACCATGTTTCTTTGTCTCCTCGTTTCAGCAGCCTCCGTATATTTGTTTCTATGTATTAGGTAGAGCTGTTTTGACTCTGCGTCTTGATAGCATGGCCTAATGTACTAGGTGTCCTATAGGGCCCAGTGGCACAGCCTCCCCTATTACCCATGCTGGGTATTTGAGGTGAGCCCTCTGTGTGGGCTAAGTACACCCTGCTCTTGTAGTTGAGCCTTGGTTCCTGTTGGCAGATCAATGGGAGGGATTTACCCAGGCCAGTCAGCTGCAAGGATTGGCTGTCTTGCACCAAAGTCTGCCCTCTGTGGAAGATCAGCTATTCAGGAGCAGGGTGGTGGTGCTTCAAAGTTGTCTGTAGCTGTCCACCAGGTGCCCTGGCCCTGGGGTTTCCCAGGTGGTGTAGGCCAAGGTCAGCCCCTACCTGTGTTTTGCCTGGGGCTACCCTGCCTGAGCTATAAAGCCATCTGAGATGCCTGCTACTTGTGCTGGGCTTGGAGATTCCCAGATGAAGCCACGCTCTGCAACGAACCTGGCTGCGGCTGGTGCCCAGCCTGGAGCTCACTGAGGCCAGCTGTTGCTTGTTTGATAGGAATTAGGGTGTTGTGAAGCATGAGCCAAGACCAGCCATTCATACGAAAAGGAGCTTGGGTGGGGCAGAGTTTCTGGGGGTCTCCAAGGTGGGTCAAACAGTATAAGCTAGGTTGGTGGAATCTCAAATATGGCACCAGGCTGCTGGCTCCATTGCTCTGTGGGGGAAGGGCTCAGAAAATGGACAATCGCCTCTGCTTTCCCTGATGCCAGACATTTCAGCCTCTCCCAGTATGCTGCTGGTGCCCTTCAAGCTGCCACCCTGGTGCTGGAGCACAGAGGGAGTGAGTCTTGAGTAGGTGAGTCCGTGTGTGGGCCCTTTAAGGGAACTGCTTGGGGCTCTAGCAGTTTCTTCCACGAACTCAATCTCTACTGATGTTTGCAGCCAGAAGTTGTGGTGCTTATCTTCTTGGCACTGGAACCCTGGCCTGGGTGCCTGGTGTGGGGATGGTATTGCTCACTCCTGAGATATCCCTCCCAAATTTTTATCCACCACGCATGGGTGAGAGACCAGCCTGTTCCACATCTGTCTAAGTAGTAGTGGTTTCTTTAATTCCATGTCAACAAAGTAGTTGTCAGACTTTCATTACTTCCATTTACTTCTGTAGTTGTTTATTTCTGATGGTTCTGAATGGTAATGGTTTTATATTTTAGTTGTAATTTTGATGTGGTTGTGAGTAGAGGTGAGCCATGTCTGCCTATGTTGCCATCTTGACTGGAAGCTCTTCGGTGTGTTTTTTTGGGGTTTTTTTGCTGTGTTCTTCTTTGGTAACAGCCTGACATATAATTCACATAACATACAGTTTACCTATTTAAAGTGTATATAATTCAGTGGTTTTTAGTATATTCACAGAGTTGTATAACTATCACCACTATTATAGAATATTTTTATCAGCTCAAAGAGAGATACACATTGTTTATGGATTGGACTTTTTAGAAATTACTTCCCAATCCTATATCCTCTTCAGCTCTAGGCAACCATTTGTTTCCTTTCTTCTCTATATTTGTCTTATTCTAGATATTTCATATAAGTGGAATGACATAATATGTGATCTTTGGTGATTAGCTTCTTTCATTTAGCATAATGTTTTCAAGGTTCATATATTTTGAAGCTCTGCTAATAGGCAACTACATATTCAGAGTTACTATTTCTTCTCAATGAACTGACCTCTTTATCATTATAAAATACCCTTTTTATCCTTGGTAATATTCCTTGTCTGAAGCTTTACTCTGATTTCAATACAGCCATTTGAGCTTTCTTATGATTAGTGTTTGCATGTTACGTATTTTCCCATTGTTTGGCTTTTCACCTATATGGTTTATTACTTACATTGTTTAATGTAGATACCATATATCTTGTTTTGAGTCTTTTTAAAAAATTCAATGATAATTTGTCTTTTTATTGGTGTATTTAGACCATTTACATTTAATGTACCAGTAAATATGGATTTAAATTTACCATCTTACATTGTGATATACCTCATTTTTTATTCCTTTCCCCTCTTTCCTGTCTTTTTTAGGCATTCCATTATACCTTCACTATTTCATTATTGGTGGTTGCTCTAAAGTTATCACAGTCTATCTCCAAGTATATATAGACTTCTGTATGTAATATGTTAAGAACCTTTCAATAGGCATACAGCCATTAATTTTCTCCACCCCCATTTCTGAACTTTGTGCTAATTATTATCATACATTTGTACTTTACATGTGCTGTAAACCCCTCAATATGCTACTTTAGCTACAAGAAAGTATTTCCAAAGAGAGTTTAAAAATGAGAATAAAATACCTTTCATATTTACTATTACTTCTGCTCTACATTCCTTTGAACAGACATATTTTCAGATAAATATCATTTCCTTCAGTCTGAGGAAATTCCTTTACATTTTTCATTGTGCTAGTCTTCTGATGACAGATTCAGCTTTTGTTTGTCTGAAATTTTTTTTTTTTAATTTAGAAGGTATTTTTGGTAGATACAGAATTCTAAATTGACTTTTTCTTCCAATACTTTAAAGATAGTCTGTTCTCTTCTGGCTTGCATTGTCTCTAAAGAGAAGCTGGCAATGATTCTTATCTTTTCTCTGTATGTTAATGTAATGCATGAGTTTTATATTTTCTCTATCACAGTTTTAAAAAAACTGGTTATGATTTGCCTTGGTATTTTTTTTTTTAACTTAGTTTGGAATGTTATTCCAAAATCTATTTTTTAAGCATTTTCTGTAAAAATGTATTTATATATTCCTAATTAAATGGAGATATTTTAGGATTATATTTAAAGACAAGCAAATAAAGTGGTAAGTTTATTTCATTAGTACTTTTTAATTGAAAATCCCTTAATTTATTGAGTTATTTAGGGGTTCAGGTACCATTGCAGTTATATGTCTTTACTGAAAAAATATTCCCTTCCCCTATATTTAACTGATTTTTATGTAATATTTTCAACTTTGGCACTTAATTTGTTGAAGTATTGACTTTAAGACAAAATACTTAGTTTTTTGATTTGTATAATTAACCAATTCAGATCATTTTAATTTTTCAAAATATTGTTACACATAGCTATAGTATAATGAAGTGAGTTGTTTTTTCTCTCTTTAGGTTGAAACTCATGCATGACATTATCCCTTTGTTTAAATATGTAAAGCGGTCTGCTGATTACAATTTAACTTTATTTCTAAATACTTTGGTTTTGAATGTAAATTATTTTTACTTTGAATTTAATAGGGACTTAACAGAATGAAACATTAATGGCAGATTCTTCTTATCTCATATTCTTTTTTAGGCTTAATCAACCCCGAATAACCAAAGATGTCATTTGTTTTCATGCTGAAGATTTCTTAGAAGTAGTTCAACGAATGCAGTTAGATTTACATGAACCTCCACTGTCCCAGGTATTTTTTAAACCATTATTATTTTCAGTTTAACCTTTATTATGAAAAAGACTTATTGGTATTTCTTGTTGTTGTTGTTTTTCTTTTCAGTGTGTCCAGTGGGTTGATGATGCAAAACTTAATCAATTGAGGAGGGAAGGCATTCGCTATGCCAGGATTCAGCTGTATGATAATGACATTTATTTTATTCCAAGGAATGTTGTTCATCAGTTTAAGACAGTTTCAGCTGTATGCAGTTTAGCATGGCATGTTCGGCTCAAGTTATATCACTCAGAGGAAGACACTGCTCAGAATACAGCTACTCATGAAACAGGCAAATCACCAGATTCCACATCATCAATTCCTGGATCTCACACTGACAATATGATTTGTGCTGTAAGCAAAACCTCTTTGGAGTCTATTTTTTCAGACAAACTTCATTCTAAATATGAAGTACAGCAGATTAAACATGAACCTATTGCATCTGTAGGAATCAATGAAGAATCTGTGAATGTTTATGTTTCTGAAAAGACCAGAGCACCGAATAATATGGATGGCAAGAATGTTAAAGCAAAATTGGATCATGTTCAATTTACAGAATTTAAGATTGGCCTGGACTCCAAATTTGAAAATAGCAACAAAGATTCAAAGGAGGAATTGTGCTTAAGTCTAGTTGATACAAGGCAACATAGTTCAACACATTCAAATCAAGATAGAAAAGATGATGCTAATTATGTACATACCATTTAAAATCCTTTTATAAAAAAAAACAAAAACTTAATAATGTAATAAAGATTCATGAATTATGAAAGCAAGCCAAGGACTTGCTCCTAAGTCTGTTACAAAATATAGTCTATGTAGCTTTGTAACATTCCTCAGTGCCTGTCCATAACTGTGAAGTATCAAAGCACTTAGGGCCAGATGCACTGTAAACATTGCAGGTTTAAAGAAATGGAGTCTTTAAAAAGTTATTTGAGTTTGAGTTGTAGGTTTTAGGATAGAGCTGACATTAACATATATATATTTTGTAATATGAGCCAGAATTCTTTTTCGACAATTTAAAGCTTTTCCATAGAGCTTATTTATACCAATTTTTTTTTCCATTTAAATGTGTCAGCACTGTAGTGTAAATAGCTTTAAAAAAATTTTTTTAGTGTGATTTATACTGAAATGTGAGCCACTTAATAAAGGTTCATAATAAGTTTTCTGTTGGGTATGCAAAAAAAAAAAAAAAAAAAAACCCCTGAAAATTCAGTTAAATCATGTATTTGATCTCGTGTCTGCTGTTGTATCCAATTAGAGTGGTAAAGGAGTGCAAATGTACATAATTCAAATCTAGTGAATATTTAAATTCCCCACATTGTGCAAGCATTTTTAAAACTAAGATTCAGTTATGAAAGCATATTTATATATGTGTGTATGTATGGGAATATATATGTATATCTTATTTTACATAACTTCTTGAATTGCTGAATAAGATGAATATGTGAAACTTCCTAGCCCTACTCCCTGGAATACATTTTAAAATATTTATAATCAATATTAAGAAAGCAGTTTAGGTAATAGAAATAATTTTTGTAAAGTTGGGCAAAAAAAGGTCTGTTAGTGATATTTAACCCTTTTAATTAATGAAGTTTTGTGGCCAGATTACATAGCCCTAGTAACATCAATTTTCTTTTTAGTGTACGGAGTGATAGGAAGTTGAGAAAATTTTCTTATTAGTAGGCACTTTTGTTATACTTAATAGTAGCTGAGTAAAAAATATTTACATAAAGTTTAACTGTGAGCAGTTAAAATCCTTATAGATTTTTCTTGCAGAACAGGAAGAAAATATGACAAATATAAAATCTTAAAATAAGGGCAATGACTCATACAGAGATGTAGCTAACAAAATAAGATGTGTTATCTCTTCTTTCTAAGAATCCCTCTCTGCCTACCCTAGCAAGGTAAATAAGAAGAGTACAGCTGACCCTCAAACGATGTGGGTTTGAATTGCACGTCAAGTGAAAAAATCTGTGTGTAAGGGGACCCACACAGTTCACTTGTTCAAGGGTCAACTCTATTTCTTTTTCAAAAGAAGATCTACAAAGTAAAATTAGGGTAGGAAACAGGATTGCCAGTGCCTCGCTAAAGAAAAACAGATGTCTTCAGTGATGGACTTGAGCACTATTTCAGCTGCTTCCACTACTGTAATTAAAAGTCAAACAAATGTCTTTAATGTATTCCTTGATATAAGGAACTCTGCTCATTGCAAATATTTTTTTATTTGTATTTGTTATTTTTCTGAGCTTATACTTTGGTTGATGACTTTCAACTGGGATTCTTTGTGCTGCCCTTTGAACTAGAGTTGCTATTTCCATTTCAGTAGTTTCTGCTCTAGCCTCATTTGTGGATCCATAAAACTGTTTATCTTTCTGGTAAGGAAGAAGCCACTTAAGGAAGAGGCATTTCATCAGAAAAAATAAAGTGTAGTAATGATGTAATTTCTGTTCCCCAGTTTAAAAAGTATAGGCACCTATTGGAAATCTCAGTGGTTTGTAGGAAGTCAGTATATTTGCATAGGAATTTTCATGGAATAAGGAAGGTATAAATCATGACAATGTATATAGGGATTTCTTTTATATCTGTCTTACCCTACTGCTCACTTTTTATCTTCTCTTTAAAGGTCAATTTATGTATTTGCACCTACCATTTCATAAGTTCATAACAAACCAGTATTGAGAAATAGTAGGGGATGTTTTCCTGGTTTTCTTCTTTTAATTGAAGCGTAATATATTTAATAAGATCTTAGTTCCAATTTTCAAGTAGCATACACATAGATACCTAAGATCATACTGTTATAAAATGTATTTAGAGTATCCCTCCAAAACATATGAGCCTTAACTTTTAAAGATATATCTAATACAATAATAGTTACTTTTAGTTATTGTTTCCTGTATAGCCTAGAGTCAAACTTCTCCATCTTTTGGAAATTCGTTTTGTCAAATACATACATCCCTGTGGATGTCAGTATAAATCAGTGGGTTCAGATTTCAAGATAAAGCCTTGTCTCCTTGGATAATGCTTAATGTTTCTTGTTTTACGGGTTATAATTTTAATCTCTTCAGATGCAGTCTGAGAACTTCTTGGCTACCTTTGTTACACACAAATAATTTGTTCCAATATTGCATTATGTTGATGGTTTCCTACGTAGTACATTCTAGTTCTTCATCTGAACATACTTTTTTTGCTGTTATTTCCGATTTCTTGGGCCAGAACAATCAAGCACTTAAATATACAATTTCTATGTGATCTTATACTATATAGAGTTATTACATAAATTATTAAATTGATACAGACCTTTACAAAAAAAAAAAAAAAAAAACAAGGTACCTCCTTGGTGTCTGATAGTATTTTTTTAATTACTTTTGTTCATACCTTTGACTATCTAAGTGATACATATTCCATACTCAGGTTAGCTGGTTAGGTAGCAAAATAATTAAACATTTGTGATAGTTGAAAACTTTACAAAAGCCATATTCATTACCTTCCTTGTCCCTAAGGTTGTTGACCTTCAATAAAGATTAGGTTAATCTAGCACAACATTCTGTGTATGTGTGCATGTGTGTAAGATTACTGGAAGTAATGTTTGTTTCCACATCTATTCATTTTTAATCCATTCTATAACTTTGGGGATGGGGGTCTTGAAAGGGAGGAAAGGTTTTATTTCTTGGACTAAGTCTTCAAGGTATATCATTAGTGTTCCTGAATGTAAAAGTTTTTTTTCCTTAAACAGTTATGGCACGTAAGATCATTTTGTAAATAATAGATTAGCACTATTTTGGTAAGTTGCATTCACTTATTTTTTTTGGACAAGTTCATTGTCATATAAAGCAAGTATCTCAAAATTCATTTTACATTTAGCAAAGGTGCAAGATTGCTTTTGGAGTTTGAGAGGAATTTTCCTTGTCATCCGCCTTTCAATAAATGCTAAAATTGATAACCATAATCTTTCCCCCTTTGTTTTGTAATTTTTTACATTTGACATTTCATCTCATCTTTAAAAGTTCTTGCTTTTCTGTCTTCAACAGAAGCCATAGGGTCTTAAAAGTGATTCCAATATGAAAGTCTTTTTCCTCTTAACTGAATATCAAAAGTTGACTTATGCAACAGAAAATATCAAGGATTACCTTAAACAAGTTTGTTAAACCAATTAGGTATGGGTGCTGGGATGGTATGATAAATTACCTCCCTTCCTTCTAGACATGACTTTAAATCTCAGGAGAGGACAAAAATCCCATTGTTTTGAAAATATTTTTAAGCTGGTACAAGTGACAGGAAGGATTTTAGGTCTTCAGAGTGATGGTTTTTATGTAATCTTTCTTCCACCTGATATAATTACAGTCATAGTTGGTACTCATGGGGTTCAGAACTCGTTGAACTCTGTACTTCTAGCATTTTGACAAGAAGAAAATGTTTCAGCATTCAGCGTTGCCCGGGACTTGTTGCAATTACTAGAACTTGTGTGAGTCACAATGCACCCCACAAGAGAAAAATGCTTCATCACTCATTGCTTGTTCAGTACTCATTGGTTTTAGGACTCGTTAGGAGTTCTGAAACGAATTAACGATTAGTACCAAGGTATCCACTGTACTTTGATGTGTCAACAAAATTTTAGTGGTTTTAGAATGTGTTGCCTGTTTCATGAAAGAGTTATATTTGTTATGTTTGGCAGTGGCAGTATAACTCAGTTAATTAAGAGGACAACTCAGGAGAGGTATAAAATCCTATATCTCTGCCCCGGCTCTTCAGTTCTTCCTGTAATCCACTGCATATTGCAGATGGAAACGATCACTGTTTAGAATATCAAGCACAAGGAAGATAAAAGCAAGATCTTTCCTGTTTAAGTTTATAAACATTGTGTATTACATCTATTGAGAGAGTAGGGAATTGAGAGGAAGACATCTGTCATTACAGCTTATTTCCCCTTCCAGGACTTAGACTCAATCAGAGAATGTAAATGAGCGGAGGATAAAATGTGGGTAAACAGAGTTTATATTAAGTAGAAATAAAAAATAAAATGTACTAATTGAATGTTTTATTACTATTATCTGCCTTCCAAGAAATGTTAAAATATGAGACATTTTAAACATTTTGAAATTTAGAATTTGTGCATCCTTGTTTCTAATATGTCTTTACACTTTTCTATAAAGACCATTGCTGTTGTACTACCTTAGACTACAAGTGTTCATATTCAGAGTCAAATCAATCTAGTTGAAAATATTTTGAGTAATACAGCATTCATAGTTTCATTTGGACAGTTTGATCCCCACCTCAAGTCTCTTCTTTCCCTGGAATTTTTTGTTTTTAACTGAGCCAGATGGAAAAATCTCAGGTGTGTCTTCTTTTCAAAGAAACCCCTCTCTTGTTTATGTTCCTGGTTCCATCTCTATTCCTGATTGACCAAGTTTTTGAAAAATCTCTGCCTGCCTTCACTTCCTCATCAAACTACAATTTCACTTTAATTCTCAAATTTAATCACTAAGCTGAAACATTTCTCTCAAAGGCCACCATTTGCCAAATCCAGTGGCTGCATTTCTTAATCCTTCTGTTTAACCTTTGTGGTATTCTCAATAATTTACTCCTTAAGACTCTATATAAGCTATCTGTTCTATTTAGTTGGTTCTGTGTTTCTTTGGATGGCTTCTTTTGCCTCTCTACCACTAGTTAAAGTAGTCTCCATGGTTCTTACCTTTAGGTCTCTACACTGGGTCCTTGACCTGTCTTCATGATCCCGGGACTTAAGTCAGCCTTGGTTCTCAACTAAGTTCTAGTGATCCTTGTAATCAAATCTAAACTCTTCTTGCTCCCAAGCATTAGTTGTTCCTTTTTCTCCTAATTTGGTTATTGGCATCACTATCTCTTTCCACAGTCTTCTCATAGTAATCTGATTTCTCTGTCTTTTCCTCTGTGTACATTGTATCATGAGATTTTCTTGAGTTGATCCCAGAAATATTTATAATTTGTCTACCCATATAGATGTTCATCTCACCTGGACTTTTAAGGTCACCTAAAATGTTCTAGCTGTCTGCAGTCCTCAGTACCAATGGCCATTCCAATCCATTCTTTTCAAAAAGTTGCAGTTGACATATACTAGATTCAGGTATACAACAGATTTAATAATATTTATATACATTAGGAAATGATCACCACACTAAGTCTATAACCATCTGTCACCTGAATCCATTCTTTGTTACCACTAGATTAACCTTCCTAAAATAGACACAATTGTTACTCTTCTGCTTAGAAATATTCCAAGGATAAAGTCCAAATGCTCAGCATAGCACTGAAGAGCCTTCATGATATGGTCCTTCCTTTCCAGCCTCATCGACTACAATCTCTTCCATTTGATGTGCCTAATTTTCAGCTTTACCAGATGGCAGTACTTGCCACTCCCTTTGTGTACTTTTAAAATTCTTTGCTTTTGCTGGGGGAAATCTCTGCCTGGGATACAACATAATGAAATCTCTTCAGAATTCCAGTGAAACATAACCTCTATGTGTATCATTTACTGATATCTCCAACTGTCCCCTCACACTGCAACTGGTATAAAACCAATTCTTCCCTCTGCCTGTTGTATTTGTGTGTGAGAGTAGGTTGGGGTCTAACTAAACAATGAGCTAGACTTACAAATTTTTTTTTCCTTTTGTATTTCCAACACCTAATTTATAGTACTCTTGATATTTAATAAGTATTTGAAGGAACAAAATACTGGGGATGGTAAAAACGTAAGTTTCTATAATTTAAAAAGTTTGTCTCTCACATTAATTCATAACATAATTCTAGAATTGTAACAGAAGAAAAGTTGAGAAAATTCGATCAGCAGGTACTATAAAGAAACCAAACGTCAGCCCTGGCCAGGTGGCTCAGGAGGTTGGAGCATCATCCTGTACACCAAAAAGTTGCAGGTTCAATATGAAGACCATAAATACTGTATTGATAATGAAACTGTAAAATCTACCCAGTTTTCCCCCTTCGAGATACACTGAAAGTTATTACAAATTACGGATTAAAATTTAATTATACTGAAAATAATTAAAATGGCAAATATGTTAGAAGCACCCTAATATTTCATAACCTGAAGCAGAATTTATTCCTAAGTCTTATTTGGCAAGGTAAAATCTGATTATTTGGTTAACAGGTGTTCTCAATTAGCTTGTAAACATTAGTTGAAAATATTGAAACAAGATAACATGCAGTCTTTTTTTAAAATCTGGTAGGCTGTTGCAGGAATGAGAACATAAAGGTGGCACATTTTCACAGACATCCTTCTGTAAAACACTTTACTGGGATGTTATGCTGAGGGAATTTGTAGCAGTGCGTCCAGAGGGTTTTTTTTTTTTTTTCTTGGTTCTAACATTCTATAATTCCTGAGGAAGAGTGATGTTTACTGTGCAGACATGACCAATCAGAATTAAAGGAAACCCCTTTGGTAATTTGTGTCTTGTTTTGTAATATAAAAACTAAAAGGACTCCTGATGTGTAAGGTTAATAACTTAAAGTGATAGAAAGCTTTAGCTCTCTATTAAGTATCATATTTAGCTATTCATTTGCTATTTTCTACTTTTCACAGTTTCAAGTCTGTATTATAAAAAGTTATTTGTTCACAAGTTGCTTTCACTAAGACTTTTTGACAAATCTTTTGCCTAAACCAGATTAAATTATATCTGGTCCATGCTGACTTGCAAAATAATGGCTTCACTAAGAACCTTTGATATTTCAAGTTTCTTAATGCAGAGTGTTAGATATTTTTATAAACACTATTAACAAACATCTCCGGATTACAAAGGAAGTATCCTATAACTAAGAACAAACAGGTATTTTTCTGCAATACTAATTGTTTATGTGTTCCATTAGTTTTAGTTTTTCTACCTGTGAGCATAATCTCTATCCTTTGTGTCTTGTTAATGTTTTAAATGTATTCCAATTGCTGAGGCTGTGTAACTGATTTCTATTAAATGTATCTGGTCTTCATCCCATTCCTGGCATAGGAATTTAACACCCTTGGAATTTCCTAAGTGGTAAGTGTGATAAAGGTGTCATTAGAGCTTACATAATTAAGGTGACTTGGAAAGCTCCTAAGTAACTAAGGATGGGGACTGGTTGCCAGGGGAACCAACTCTGATTAAAGGGCTGTAACTTTTCAGTACTCCCTTCATCCTCCCACTCCCCAAAGTAGAGGGGCTGGAGACTGAGTTCAGTCACCAATGCCCAATGATTTAACCAATGACTATGTAATCAGGCCTCCATAATACCCCAAAAGGGCAGGGTTTAGAAAGCTTCCAGGCTGGTGAATGGGATGGGGGAAGACTGGTCGCCTAGAGAGCATGGCGCTCAGTGCCCCTTCCCCAAACCTTGTCCTGTGCATGCATCTCTCAACTGGCTGTTCCTGAGTTATATCCTTTTAGAATACACTGGTAATCTAGTAAGTAAAATGTTTCTCTTGAGTTCTGTGAGCTGCCATAGCAAATTAACTTGAGGAGGGGGTCATGGGAACTGCCAATCTATAGCCTGTCATAAGTACAGTATACCTGGAGGTTGGGTTGGCCTCTGAAGTTTGAGGTAGGTATTAGTCTCTGGAGCTGAACCCTTAACCTTGTGAATATGATGCTATCTCCAGGTAGATAATGCCAGAATTAATTCCTTGGTGGTTTGGGGGGCGGGGGAAACACATCTAACGGTGTCAGAATCAGAGGCATATATCAGTAGCTTATTGTGTGGTTTCAAGTTGTTTATTTAATGTGCCACTATACCAAATTAAGTAAGAAAATAGTTATGCTGTTGCTTTTTACATGTGATTCTTACCCAGTTTCCTTGGAGGCCTAGCTCAGGAGTCAGCAAACTACTTCCCACTGGCCATAAATTTTTTTTCAGTATGGGCTGTGAGGCAAGAATGAGTTTTAAATGGTTTAAACAAAAATCAAAATATTTTGTCATATGTAGAAATTTTATGAAATTTATATTTTGTTGTCCAAAATAAAGATTTATTGGAACATAGCCATGGTCTATTGCTGCTTTCTTGCCACAAGACCTGGGTAGCTGCAACAGAAAGCTTAAAATATTTACTACATAGCCCTTCACAGAAAAATTTTGCTGACTCCTGGACTAGCTGTTTGCATGTGTGCTTTCCTTTTCTTTCCCTATGAGAGATTGTATTTAGGTAATCTGTGCATGTAATACAGTTTTAACTGAACTACAAAATCCTTCTTTCTGGCAAGGTTCTACATTGTTTTAATATGACCCCTCTAATTCATTTGTTCCAAACAAAAGGCAGAGGAAACAAAGAACAGCCTAGACAAAAAAATGTCAAACTCCGATTCTTCCTGAAAATAAACATGAAGTAGCACTCCCTAATTACTTCAGTAACTAGTTTTTCTTCATAATTATTTAGAAGCACAAATGACCATTTACTTTGGTTGTAATGGGGTCATGATACATTAAACTTCTACCCAAATATGTAGGTTAAAGGGTTCTTATTTACTTTAAATATTGACCCATCAACAGATTATTTAAAAGTCAAGTAGAAATATAAGGTCCCAAACAAACTTTATTTAAATAGGGATAATAAAGATATTAATAACTCAAATATAGAATAATTAAGCTTTGGGTTGACTAGAAGTCCATGATTCACCAAGACTATTTTATGGAAGCAGTATAAAACTACATTTGGTATTTTTCTCAGTTTTCTGGTATTCTTCAAGCTTGCAAAGATTCAGAATGCTTTAATGACAACTTGTTGAACAGCAATAAAATAAGACGATGTCCTTAGAAGTCAGTCTCTCACAAAAAAGACATTATACCCAAGCTCTACTAAAGCCCCAGCTAGTAAGGTCCACAAAGGAATGAAGACATAGGACAGATTCATGGTAGTAAACTGTTCCAGTTTAGCACAGAGTGCAAGGCAGAAGGCTAATTTAAGTAACATTGCAATGAGGTACCAGGTTTTTTTTTTAATATTGTGTGATCCATGTCGAGGGTCAAAGCCCGACTTACATCGCCCAGCCATTTTCACAATCAGCATGACCAGAAGAATAGTATCAAAAATCCAGACTGGAATAAATATGAGGAACCAGTTCCAAGGTGCCTTCTCATCCAGTTTCAACACCAACATGATCAAGAAGAGTAATGTGAAAAGCCAGGTGAGTAGTACTCTCTGAGCCAAGGACATTCTCATTTAAACAGTTTAAAAAGGCTGTTGCAGCGTCGAAAAATGGGAAATATATCCTAAGAGAAGGAAAGAAGGTCAAGATGGTTTTGATACCAGAAAAATTATCAAATCACTTCTATTCCTGGTGAACAAGGCTGGCTCATTCCCACTCACAATTTCCTAATTTTGAAAACATTCTACCCTTCTTCCTTTAAAAACTTGCAAAATTTGTAGCCATCTTTGACAGCATTATATCCATTGTTCTTTTAGCCCATGACAATAAAATGTTTCGTATACCCCCTGTAATACTGTTGTTTTTCATTACTATCACTCAAGTCCAGGCACTCATGATTTTATTCCTGCACCTCATGGATGTTCGTAAGTCCTTTTTGTACATTTGCACAGCTACAAATTTCCAATCAGTTTCAAGGAGTACTAAGAAAAAGCATCCAAAGTCAAATCAGTGAAAAAGAAGATGGTATAAAGTGAAGAGAGGAGAGTTTTAGTAAGGAGGGAATGGTTAATAAAAATTAAGACATTAGCAGTATGATTATAAAGAGGTCATTAGGCTAAATAGTACAGAACACATTGATAATACTGTATTTTCACAGTTTAATCTATGGATCCTATATTTGTAAGTTAAATTTTCTCATTTAAATTTTTATAAATACCTATTTTAGTCTAATATTTTCTTATAATTTTTTCGATTTGTGGTAAAAATAAAAATTTTTTTCCCTACTTTTCAATAATCAAGACCACTTAAAATCTGACACTTTGTGGTAATTGGATGCCAAGTTACTCAATAATGGACTATTTCTTATATCTCTATTCTGTCTTACTGCAGTTTATTTCTGTTTTGAACTAGTACTGTATGACTTACTGGGTATGTTCCAGAGGATATATTCTAATATCTGGAAGGTTCAGTACCTACTTACTGTTTTCCAGATTATTTTCTACTATTGTTTCATTTTTTTCACTAATTCTTAAAAACTTGGAATTTTAATTGGGAAGGCATTAATTTATAATACTTAGATATACACATTTACTCAATCTTCACATACAGGTTTCCAGTATGTACTAATACCTATTCCAGTTTTTTTAAATCAACCTGTGACCATTTGGGAAAAAAGGTAAGAACGGGAAATCAGAAGACGGACTGCATGCAGTGGGTGAGGAGTCAACAGAAAGTAATACCAGCTAACAGCACTTTACTCCCTCTTGAAACATTTGGAGAAACTGAAAGTAAGACATACAATGAAACTGAGAAAGGGTCAAGAAGAAATTTTCAGTAGAGGAGAAATCTAAGTATGATTATGAACTCAGAGATATAACCTACTGGGGAGTGACACCGGTAGACTGAAGATGACAGAGGATATCTGATGGAAATAGGAAAAGATCAGATAGTCATGATGGTAACAGTACAGGTCATAGGAGTAAAAATGCAGAAAGGTTAACAAAAGGTGAAGAGGCTAGATAGGTGAATCAAATGCTCTTGACTAGCATGGTCAATAAATTATATTTTAGAGATCTGACGTTTTCTGTTAGATCTGTACTACTTTAAACAGTGGGTAGCTATCATGGTGCCAGAATATGTCTTTTTTTTTTTTTTCCTCTGTGCCTTACAAGTCGCCAAACTCCCCTTTCCCCATTATACCTATCTGCTTGCACTCAACTTGTTTATGTAGTTGGCAGGTGCTTCATACTGAAGTATGAAAAGCATATGCTTTTGTTTTACTATGCTGGTGTCTTTTCCTGGCCAGAGGATGCCATAATGAGACATTGGCCTGAACTTGTACAAAAAGGTGCAGGGGTGTGTACTGATAACCTCAGATGGATTTTATCTTGTAAATTAAGTTTGCTCAATCCCGATCTCTATCTGGCATTTTGTGAACCTTTCAAAAGTTTACAATAATATACTTGCTTATGTATAACTTTTCCATCAGCCATTGGATGAGTCAAGCTTCATTTTTTTTGTTATATAGAGCTGAGTAGCAACTAGTCATAGAAAGAGTAGCTGCCTTCAACACAGATACTTCAGGACTGGAGGTGGAAAGGATGCAAAGAACAAGCTTGTGATTACAAGTTTTATAATGCGGGAGGCAACAAAGTTCTGTATGCACTTGTACAGAAATGCCCTCCACCAGGAAGCATTCTGCTGATGCTGTGTTTGTGGGCTACAATTATTACATGCAATCCCACTTTTATTAACTAATATCATTAATTTAGGCAGTCGTATTTGTTTCTTACTACTACTATTCTTTCACAAAAGAGGGGGTTTGCATACTCCAGAACAAAAATTTGCTTAACTTAAATATTTCCTATCTGAGGGGGTCATTTCTGGTACTTTGAAGAGAGTTAAGTATTAGTTCATATGCTTTCTTATTCATTGTTAAAATTTTGTGTTGACCTCAAATGAAAAAAATAGAAGGCCCTGTCCTACCTCCAGTGTCTCGGTGTCAGTAGTGTGTGGACTCATCTGTCCATGGTGCTTCCCACACCACCTCCATTTCCCTTTTCTCGCTACTGCCATTACTATTTCAAGCTAATTTGCTTCATAGCAAAAGCAGCTTTGTTTAATGAGCCCACAACACATAACTCCTCTAAAGAGTCGCTTTCGAAAGGCCCCTGCTGCTACAGCCTTGGCTAGCTTACCGGTTAACCATCCTTCAAAGGAATAGCGTTTTTCTTACAACTTATCTGATTTTCGCGCCTACTTGTCCCTAGAACTTTGGGACGTTTCTAAACTAGCCTTGTCCTCCGTCTTCGAAGGGCGGAGGTCAGCCCCCGACACCCTATCTGGACTCACCCTCCACCCCAATTTTGCGCTGTGGACCAAATACATTCTGGAGTTGAACGCGGTTCTAGAACGACAAGATCCACAATGCACTCGAGCCTGGTGTGTTTGGGGCTGGGAATGTGAGGGGGTGGGGAGCGGCGGCGACCCAGCCCACCCAGGCATCTAGAGGCCCGTGAAGGATGTCAGCCCATCGGAGCCCGAGACTCACCTGGCAGCGCCGTTGGCCGGAGAGCGGAGAGGAACGCGAAGATCAGAGAATTCGCCAGTTTGGATCCTTGGCCTACTCCACACTTTTCCCCCCATTAAATCCAGAATCCGTCACATGATAAATCAAGAAAACGATCTCAGCTCCGCCTCTACAGACGACCATGGTAGAGGATTTCTCACTTCTACCTTAGGGCCGCGCCCACATCCGGGGTAGGTTCTCACCGCCCCTGGGCCTACTCTATAGGTAGAGAGGACGTCAATCTGCGTTCAGAGGCTGCTTTCTCTGCGGTAATTGGACTTTTGGCCGCCAGTGCAAACCAACCGACCTTTCTTTACGTTCGTGTTTGTCAAGAGGGTGGCAACTAAAGAAGCCACTTGCCCCGCCTCTGTATTGCTACGGGCTAGAGGGAAAGTCAATCAAAGTTCAGCCTGAAGTGCACGTAGTCCCATTGGACAGGCAGATGCCAATCAAACTAGCCTGGGCTCGGATACGCCCCTGCGGGGCGCTCCGCCCCTCCCGAGGTCCACCCCACCAGCGGGCGGAGACAGTAGGCTCCAGCGCAAAATACTGCGGGAGAGGGGGTGGGACGACGGCTGTAGAGGCAGCGCGCTTGCCGGTATCCTCGTTGTGGTCTCTCTCGGCGGTGGCGGTGTTTGCCTCGGCATCTCTCCTGCACCCCAGCCGCCTCCTAGCGGCCTGGCGCCCACTCCTAAGGTGAGAGTCGGCATCACTTTCGCACTTGGGAGGGCCGTGTGTAGGTTGGGTTCTGACAGAATCTGGAGGATGGAGCATTGACGGGGAGGAGAGCGACGGGCGGGATGGAGGTGGGGGCTTCGGGGCCAACGCATCGTCCTCTACCGCCAGTGACTTCTCCAGCAGCCGCTGGCACCTGCACGCCGCGGTCAGCCGCGGTCCCGTGCCGTCTTTTGGCGGGCGGCAGTGGCTCAGCCGCCCTCCTCCTGAGCCATCGCTGTCTTCAATCCTTGATGGTGAGGGGCCGAAGCCCAGCGCCGCCTTCCGTCCGTCCGCCCGCCCCCTCCCGCGGCCCCTCTCCTTCGATTCCTTCCACTTGTTCGGTGCTCGGGGTGCGTCGGGTCCTGGAGGGCATGCAGGGGCATTGGTGGCAGAGCCCGGGCCGGCGGGAGCGGTCTTCTAGCGGCCGAAGGAGCGGGCTTGCGAGGAGGGGGTGACTGAGCGCCCTGGAAGCAGGCTGGATGGAGGGTCGCTGCCCTGCACCCACTGAACAGGCAAGAGTTTGGTTTTCTGATTCCATCCCTGAACAAAACGGGTGCTGAAATCCTTCGCTTTGGCCTTAAGTGATATTTCCCTTCTGGAAACGGTACGGCGGTTCTTCAGCGTGTTTCATCTTTTCTTATTTTTATCTTTCTGATGTTGACGGTGTTCTGGTATTGTCCCTTTTAGTCGGGGATTTTCCGACTCAGCACGTCCTCTATAACTTCGGGGATCATCCCCTCACTGTTCTATTACCCTTTTTATTTTTAGCCTGGCAAGAAAAAAAAAAAAGGAACTGCTTTATATCAACATATACTGAGTAGGGAAGGACAGAATCTGGAACAATTTACTAATCTAAGTATCTAAATACCAAATAATTTAAAAATTCATTGTAAATGTGTTATATATTTTGTAATTTACAGTTCCTTTTGTTAATGGTATATTTCCTGCTTGCTTTGATAGTTTGTTACTCGTGGAACTTTGATTTTATAGATTTTGCGTAGCTTTAGCCCACTAGACATTTTAAGATTTTTCCTTTTAATTTTCCCCTGAGACTTTGGCTATAGCCATAGTATTTGCTCTTGTTGTGAGGGATTAAGTGTTTTTTTAAAAAATTTGTTTTCTCCCAAACTGGACTTTTTCATAACAGTTTTAAAGTTAGAAAGGAGAGTTCTGAGAACTTGGAAACTATGCACTCCAGCCTAGGGAACCTTAAAATAGCGTAACAATTTGAAAAGGTAACTTTCTGGAGTAAGGGTTGCTAAGTTTAAGAGAAGGAAATGGGTATTCCCTGTTAGTTGTAGTGGCTCAACCTCCAGATTCTACAGGAAAGGAATAAGAGATCTGGGGAGAATGAGCCATACCTGAGACCAGACACAGGTTGGTTCCAGGGTAATTTATTGCCTGCCTTCCACTCAGGTTAATTATCAGCATGCATCAGATAGTATTAATAGTTAGGTGTTAGCAAGGTAGGAAATTGCCGTGTTCTAATTTTCACCACTTTCTGGTAGGGCATGAAAATGTGGCGAGCAAATCGAGTATAGTGTACAATGGAGGCACTTCTGCATAGTCAAGCCTCCAAGAGTAAACTTTTTTTTTAGTCTAAACTGGTATTGGACAGAGAGCCCTAAAAATGAAGTAGATGGTCTAAGCAATTTTTAAACCATAATCCTTTTTGGCTAATTCATTTCATGCAAAAGTGTAAAGAAGTTGTAATGAGAAAAGGCTTCACTCGACTGAGGCAAAGAAAATTCACAGTGGCATGTGCAAAAATGATGATCAAAAAACAGATTGCTATGCAATATATTATCTCATTTAATCCTTATAATCCCATATTGTAGGTACGGTGATTACTGTCCTCCCTGTTTTATATGAGTTAATGAAAACTTAGGTTAACTTACTTGTTCAAGATTTTTCAGCTATTGAGTTGGTGGAGGTGTGAGTCACATCCAAGTAATTTGATTACCATGCCTGCATGGTGGTTATGCTTTACCACCACATTAAAAGAGGCTTCTTAAGAGACTTGGTTAGAAGGAGACTAATTATTGGAAAATAATGCTGCAAAACCATAAACTGAATAAGAGTATCGTACATATGCAGTAATACTTCGAGATTATTGTATAGTAGGTACTGTTGAGTTTTGCTGGGGATGTATAAGGATGGAGTCATCTTTCCTGTCTTTGAGAAACTTTGTTTAGCAGGAGAAATAGATATATGAACAAATAATGATGATGTATACTATAAGAGAATGCCGTAGAGTCTGTGGTTTCATGGAAAGAGAATTCAATTAAAGTTAAGACAAATCAGCATTTGAATTCCTGTTTGGCTTTGTGACCTTAAACATGATACCAAACCTTCTTCAGCTTCAGTTTCCTTATCTGTTAGCGGGAGAGGATAATACCGCAAAGGGGAGTATTAAGCATTAAACAAAATATATAAGGTACTGGCACAATGGTAAGCCCTGAATAAAGAAGAAAGAGCAAATAATTTTAAGAGCCAGAGTAGAAAAGGGTTGTGGGGGTTGAGCTGGGAGCTGTTACTGGAGCCTTAAAGGGTGAATGGTAGCTTCCACCTGTAGGAAAGGAGGGCATTTTACACAGATAGAACTGAACAGGAATATGAATGGTTGAAGGAATGGCAAATAATTGTGGCTTTGTGTAAAAACTATTTTTGAAGGCCTAACTTAAATGGTAATTGTATATAAATGTGGCTAAGCAAAGTAAGTACTACCCAGTTTTGCTCGTGGGAAGTTGCATACATAGATAACTAAAATTGTAGGAAAACCTCAACCGTTTGTGCAGTGTTATATTTTTATTTAATATTTACTTTTAATATTTATTTTCCCAGTGTCAATTAAAACTTAATTTTCAGACCTATCCACCTAAGCAAAAATTTGACTGTTTTATTGTGATATTACATTCTAGCTGGTAAAGACTAATACCCCTGGAGGAATTTGCACTTAATTTGTGGAAAGTGTTTTGGGATTATTTTAAAAAGAAGAAGAATCTTAAAGTGACTCTTGTCTTTCCTTAACCCCTTAATTTGGTCTGTAGCTACACAGAGTGAATATTGCAGAGTACCCTTTGCATATATGTTGACTGTCTTTTCCAAATCCAAATTTGAGATATCACAGTAGGACAGAATGTTTTAAGTTGGGACTGTCCTTAAAAATCCAGGGAAAATAACCCTGGTTGGTGTGGCTTAGTGGATTGAGCACTGGCCTGTGAACCAAATGGTCATGGGTTCAATTCCCAGTCAGGGCACATGCCTTGGTTGTGGGCCAGGTCCCCACTTAGGGACATACAAGAGGCAACCACACATTAATGATTTTCTTCCTCTCTTTCTCACTCTTTCCCCTCTCTCTAAAAATAAATAAATAAATAAAATCTTTTTTAAAAATCCAAGAAAATATCCCATGCTTATATTGAATATCTTCCCTTCAGGTTAGCACAGAACTGTAAACATATTACATTTATAAATGTGAATCACTTGATGACCAGAATCATATGACTTAAGTTGAAAATATTAAATAACATTTAGGAAAGCTGCATTCTAAAAAGTCCAACTTCTTATTGTTAGCCTCACACAAATTGCTAAAATGACACAAAATATAGAGGTGAGTTTTCAGATGAGAGAAACCAACTACTTCCTAGAGCAGGTAGTTTGAGAGCACTAGGAAAGAAAGTATGCTGGATCTCATTCTGAATAGTGAACAGGAACTGGGACAGGAAATGACTGTGGCTGAACCACTGCCTGATAATAATCATAATGTGATTAATTTTGACATTTAATGAGATGAAGTAAAAGGGGAAAAAGTGCACTATATGCAGCTTTCCAATTTCAGAAGCAGTAGAGGAAAGGGGCTGTTAAAAATGTATCTGCAGAAATTTTGAAGATATGTAGTAGACACTCATATTTGTTGCATGAATGAAAGCACCTTAATAAAACATTCAGTAAAAGGTCTGTTACAGATAGCAAAAAACTTACGGAAGTTATCTGACACAAGTGTTCATGCTCTGTAGACCTAGGTTCAACTGTCAGTTCTGCAGTTGCTCTGTTGTGTGACTTTGGGCCTATTATGTAACCTTTTTGAGGTTCAGTTTTATTTAATCATATACTGATGATAACAGCTTTGCATGATTTCAAAGACTAATGAGCTAATGTATGGAAAACTTGACACATTGCCTGGCTTATAATATAGACTGGCTCAAAAAAATGGTTGCTGCAACTATTTGACTAAGTTGAATACATATATATTTCTCAAATAGAGTAAGGAAAGCTAGAAAATGGCAAACAAACAAAGTAAGCCTTAGAAAGAGGCAGTAGGTAACAGGCAGAGTTATTGGGTTGGCCAGAAAGTCTGTTTAGTTTTTTCCTTAAGAGACACATTTTTTCATTTTCACCAGTAACTTTATTAATTTGGTTATTTTGAGTATGTCAGTATCTCCTGCTATTGGCTTCTAGTGGGTTGGGGTGCTGCTAAACATCTTCCAATGCATAGGACAACCCCACAGCAAAGAATTATTTGGCCAAAATGTCATTAGTACCAAGAAACTTTGCAAATCACTTTTGACACGTTCCGTCAGTCACAGCACCTTCTGCACACACTGCACAAATCTTTTTTTGTTTCAGTTGTGTTTTTATCTTTCTTGAAATAAAGCGTAATATGCCGAAAATGTTGTGTATCTTCTTCCATCTTTCACATTTAATGGCTGCACAAAAATTCAACAGTTTTGAAAAGTTTTTTTTAATGCATGCTGATATGAAAGCTATCAATATTCAGTTTAACAAAATTGTTTTGAATGAAGTTAAAGACAACTAAACATGACTAGGGCGATAATATGGGAAAAGTAACGGACTTTTTGGCCAACCCAGTAAATAAAGAATTGAGTCATTACAGCCACATATAAAAGAAAAGACAGGGAGAAAGCTACACATTCTCAATTTTTTTTTTTTCCTGAAGAAAATACGTCAGACTCATT